GGCCTAAAATTCTGATGAACACTCTAGGCAAGCTTAGATCTACATTCAAAAAATATGTACTCAGATTGCAGCACTGGAGTAATTGCGAATATTGCATTTTTCGTAAGTTAAAATGCAAAGCATGAAGTCTACAGTGATGTTAGTGACAAGGGATGACCAAAATGCTTTGACAATGTGAACAATTTTTGCTATCCCCTCTCACCCAAACTGTCAAAAATGACGGCATATTTGCAAAACTAAGGGTGCATCTACAAAGCAGGGCTTACCTCAAAATAAGTTACACAAATGGAGCTACGTCAATTGCATAGGTTATTTTGAAGTAGCTTATTTTGAAAATGGCATTGTCTACACAGTACTTATTTCAAAATAATGCGCTCTTCCTCCAACTTCTCTTATTCCTCGTACAGTGAGGAATTTGACATTATTTCAAAATAACTGCCTGCTGTGTAGGATCAGACTAAGAGAACTGGCTGTTGACCCAATCATGAGAAAGTATTTTTTGCAATAGCTGTGCCTCATAGCAATCCAGTGCTGTTTTGTATTCCAACATACTGGCGGACTAGTGTGCCAGACAATGTACAAAAACACTGCAGGAAACAGCCTTGATTTACAGGTGAGAAACAGGTGCAGAGAGAGATTAAATTCACACACAGCAACTTACAGCCAAGCTAAGAATCAAACTCAGATTCCTCAGCCTGAGTGCAGGGCCCAAATCACAATACCATCCCTTCTTCTCCTCACCCCAGCTAATCTAATTGCAGTTCTAGGTTTCTCTCATGCCAAGACAGTTCCATTTCTCTTTTTGTCATGGGTGAGTAATGAACATTTTACATTCTGGAGCACTCACAACAATTGTGCTTCACAGGATGGCCATTGCTGTGTGGGATACTCAAGTAGTCAGAGAGTATCTGTGATGGCCACATTTCTAACACATTTGCATTGGGTGGAAAAAAAATGGCATGGAATCTTTAATGTTTACAAGGGACCACAGATGACATCGGCAAGCACCAAACTGCCCTGAAACTATTTGGGGAAGGACATAAATTTATTATTGACTCAGAGGAAATGTGCTGAACCATCATCATCACTTTAGGCTGCATGAGGGCAGGAGAGGGTGTTTCCCATCTTACTACAAGAGACACAAAACTTGCTTAGATCATGAGATGTGCATTGAATGTAATCTTACATAAACCAAAATATTAAATGGGATACCAAAGTTATTTATTTCAACTGGCTAAAGAATCATATTTATTTGCATTTCATGACCAATTTTGTTGTTCTTTTCCTTCCTTCTGCAGAATATTACAGCTATGTCTTTATGACATTCTGCTTCACAATCTGCATGGTGCAATTTCTTTTTTAGTTTTTAAGGAAAATAATTCACTTTTCTTTAAGCATCCGCAGCCACTACTGGAGGAGATTTCTATTCTCTCACTTTTCTGTTTTTATATAAAAAACCCTCAGACTTTGGCAAAGTAATGAATTAAAGAGTTCTGAAAGCTTTCTGCAATTTTCTTTTAAAAAAAATGTATATGAATACACTCAAGGCAAAACTACTTACAAATTTTAACCTATATTACTGACATTATACTGCATTGTAAAAAACAAGTATTTTAAATATATTTATTTTTCAAATAAGAAAACTCTCTCGGCAGCTTGTTTACTTTCTGCTTTGCACTCAGCTGGAAAATTAAACTAGATTTGCCATTTTAACTTGCTGATTAGCACACACAAGTACAATGGTGTTACATTTTGATTCACAGCTCAGTCAGGGAATATTTAAAAGTACAGTAAAACTCCAATGGTCCGGCATCTGATGGTCTGGTACTCCTGATGGTCCGGCACTCATCAGGAACCCGGAAGTGCTCCGGGCAGCTGGACCATTGGATCTGCTCTGCACCCAGGTTCCCCGATTCAGCTGCTGCTAAAACTGACCAGCGGCTGAATCGGGGATGCCTAGGGCAGAGCAGCTGGGCGTTGCCGGGTTGGTCCCATAGTGCTGCCCCTCGGGGCTGCGGGACCCAATCCGGCAGCACCCCAGCTGTCCCCCATTCAGCCGCTGCTGAAACTGACCAGCGGCTGACTCCAGGAACCCTGAGGCAGAGCTGCTCTGCCCCAGGCTTTCTGGAGTCAGCCCCTGATTGAATCGGGGATGCCTAGGGCAGAGCAGCTGGGCGTTGCCGGGTTGGTCCCATAGTGCTGCCCCTCGGGGCTGCGGGACCCAATCCGGCAGCACCCCAGCTGTCCCCCATTCAGCCGCTGCTGAAACTGACCAGCGGCTGACTCCAGGAACCCTGAGGCAGAGCTGCTCTGCCCCAGGCTTTCTGGAGTCAGCCCCTGATCAGTTTCAGCAGCGGCTGACTTGGGGACACCTGGGACAGAGCAGCTGGGGTGCTGCCGGGTTGGTTTCGCAGCACCAAGGGTTGGCGCTACCAGACCAACCCGGCAGCGCCCTAGCTGCTCTGCCCCAGGCATCTGGATTCAGCCGCTGTTGAAACTGAACCGCCGCTGGCCCCCA